CTTGAGGACTAAGGTGCACCTGACCCAAGCCATGGTATTTTCAATAACCTCATATGCATGTGAAAGCTGGACAGTGAATAAGGAAGACCGTAGAAGAATTAATGCCTTTGAGTTATGGTGTTGAAGGAGAATATTGAAAGTGCCATGGGCTGCCAAAAGAACCAATAGATCCGTTTTGGAAGAGGTGCAGCCAAGAGTGCTCCTTAGAGGCCAAGATGACCAAACTTCGTCTCTCATACTTTGGACATATTGTCAGGAGGGACCAATCGCTGGAGAAGGATATCATATCATATATGGTAAGGTGGAGGGTCAGAGTAAAAGAGGAAGACCCCCCAACAAGATGGATTGGCCAAATGGCAGCATCGATGGACTCAAGCTCAAGTAGTGAGGCTGGCCCAGGATCAGGCAGTGTTTCGTTCTGCTGTGCATAAGATCGCTATGGGTCGGTACCGACTCGATGGCACCTAACAACAACAACAACATATACTAAACCATTATGCTATACAGTGTCTCAAGGTAGAAAATGAAACCATTATCCCTTCCATGCAGTAGAGATGAAGACTGGCAGGAAAACAGATCATTGCAATGTATTCCAATAAGCATCCATATAGATGTAGGAGCCAAGTGGAGTGTCATCTAGAGAAGGAGCAAGTTAGGGGAGCTTTTTTGGAAGATCAGAATTTTTTGGAAGATCAGATGTAAGAAAGCATGTTTCCTGCCAAAAGGTGGAAGCTGCACAGGGCAAAAAGTGGCAGAAGCCATGTCACCAAAGGGCAGAGCGGCGGCGGACCCTAAGCATAAAGGGCTCATTGTTAAGCAAGGCCACAATGGGTCTCCCCTTGGAAGGCAAGGCCCCCAGGAGGGATCTCATGTGGGGACTCTGCAGTTTCTGTCTCTTTGTTTTAATCAGCTTATTTTTAATTTTCTTGATTTTATAATAAAAGTTTTCAGTACAATCTTTGTAAGAATTATATTAGAAATTTGAAACTTGTTTTTAGGCACCTTTACACCATATTCAATCATGCGTAGTCCTAAAGAATGCTTTTCACACTAACAATAAGTTTCACCACTAGGAAAAACCAGCTAAAGTTTTTGCCAGTCCAAGTTTAAGATTACATTCAACATTCTGTGTAGTTTTGGTCAGGGACATTAAGACCTCTAGAAAATTAGCAAAAAATGCAATTTAGGGTTAAGGGAATAGTAATAGATCATAAGGAGAAATTTAACTAGATGTTTTGTGTAGAGAAGTTATAAGGAAGTTGTTCTGTTTCTTCTTAACTACAAAACTTTAAATGCTTCTTGTTTTTCTTGTTTAATCAATCATGAGAAACAACTGTGTTGTCAGTTACCATAGCAAATCATGTTTAGGTATATGTTGTGATTAATGAATCTATGGCAAATACCAGGTGAAGGTAGAAATAGGAGTTAAGATTTAGAATTATGTTTTAAGGTTAACCTGACATTTTAAGAACAATAAGGTTTGCTTACAGAAATCAGATATTGTCTAACTACGTAAAGGGGAACAAGGAAGATTTTGATATTCTTCATGCTCTATACTGAAATGATTAATATGTATGATTTAGACCACTACTTTGAAAAAATGATTAATAGATTGGTGGTATAGAGTAGTATAAAAGCTGTTTGAGAATCTGAAATAAACGTGAAAAGAGAAGATTCACCATTCATTGAGACCCATTGATTCTGTGAGCTTCATCTCTTCGCCAAACGCCACACATCTCTCTTTGTTGTTGTTGTTGCAAGTCTGAGGAACAAGACAGTGGTGTGTATCCCAATGCAAAGCTCTGGGTGGTGGGAACAGTAAATGTGCTCAGCTGCTAGCAAAAAAAGTTGTAGTAGGTTTGAAGCCACACCCAGAGACATCTCAATAGAAAGTCAGGGAGACCTACTTAAAAAAAAAAAAAAAAAATCAGTCATTGAAAACTATGAAGCACAATTCTGTTCTGATATACATGGAGTCACCATGAGTCCAAATCAACACTTCTACAGCTAAAGTCCTGGGGTGGCACTGTAGGATAAGCATGGGATTGCTTACTGTAAGGTTGGTGGATCAAACCCACTAACTACTTCTCAGAAACCCTAAACAGGGCCTCTGTGAGTTGGAACTGACTTAATAGCACTTAACAACAACTACACAATTGATAATCCTTACCAAGCATTTAAAAATAGTGAATAGTCAATTTACTTTTCACCCAGGCCTTTTTTTTTTTCTTTTGTCTTGCTGTCTTTCTCCATATATATACCTGGGCATATCTGAAGAACTGGGACTTGAGTACCAGCGAACAAGGATCCTGACTTTCTTTACCCTCCTATCCTACCACTTGTTTAAGCCAAAAATTTTTCTAAGAAGGAGACGACTGCCCAGTAGTGGTGAAACTGAAAATTGGTATGGTCAATTCAAAATGCATATCATTGACACATTGACCATAGCATATGAAGTTGAAATCATCCTCTATATCTTATACTACATCAAATCATTGTCTTGTTTATTTTTGTTTTCAATGTTTGATTGACACTTTGCCTTTTAAATTGATCATCTTCCAGACCACAGCCAGAGGGATCTTTCTAAAATGTATCTATTACCATGTTGATAATAATGACAAGTAGAATTATATAAAGGATCCCTGGTGGCACTGTAGGGTAACTCAAGGTTGGCAGTTCAAACCCACCGCAGGAAAAAGATGTGGCTTTCTGCACCTTCAAAGATTTCCCTTGGAAACCTGATACAGAGACAAAACCGACTAGAGGACGGTGAATGAGTGTTCTATAACATGCTTACTATGTGCCAAGCACGCTTCCATGTTAACTCACTTATTCCTAACAATTACCCTTTTGATGTAGGGTTAGTATCATCATCACTAGTTTGCAAAGTGAAGCTCAGAGAGATTTCCTATCTTGTGCCAAGTTACATTGGTACTCTGGTTCCAGACTATATGTGCTCATACCCACTAAGTTACTTTAGTGCCCACCTGTCTTCTCTCGTGAGCATGCCTACAAGGCTCTTTATGATCTATGGAGTTTCCTGCAGTACCCTGGAGTAATGAACAGGAAGTGAAATGCCCTCACTGTTATATTTTGATGCTGCGGGTCTTTGCATTGAAAAAGGAGCACTGATAGCATATAGTCGTCGATTAGAAGTTGGGCTGCAAACCACAAGGTCAGCAGTTGAAATCTACCAGCTATTCTGCAGGAGAAAAATGAGCCTTTCTGCTCCTTTAAAGATTCACAGCCTTGGGAATGCTATCCAGGGTCGCTGTTTGTTGGACCCGACTCCATAGCACACAACCACAACCACTAACATCATGCATTGAACACTGTCAGCATTACTCATCAGCTTTGGAGAAGGTTTTAACTCTGTGTGGCAGGTGTCAGCTTAATTTGTTAAGCTACAGGGTTTCTGGAGTCCCAGTGTAGGAAAATCCTTCTTCTGTGAAAGCCAGGATGACAATAGCAATTGTACCCTGTGGGCACAACGCTGGACCCTTTTGGGAGTGTACTCCCACCTGTGTGAAGAACACCCGGGCTGGGCAGAGCGAATGTGACACTGTGGGTTAATGCGTTGGACTGCAAAGTCGGTTTGAACCGCAAGGTTGGTAGTTCAAGCTCACCAGTTGCTCCTCAGAAACAGGGTCGCTATGGGTCAGAACAGATTAGATG